AGCTCGATGGCAACGCCGTGGCCGACGCCCGAGCTAAAGAAGGTGCTCTGCAGTCCGAGCGGACTGCAGCGACATCTACTGCATCGAGAGCTGCTCGTTCACCGCCCGCATCGCGGCGAGGTATGCGGAAGCGCAAGATGCGCGCGTCGCAGGGTCGGGCCTCCGCGATTCCATAGGGGGCCAAGGCCCCAGGAGATCATTGACCTGGGCGGGTGGCCCGTCGATCCTGCCGAGGCTTGCGAGGAAGATGCGGCCCCGTCGGCTAGCGCGGACCCCATTTGCACAGGGGGGGTCCGCTGCCTGGCATAGACGGCTCGCTGCGGCCGTGGCGCGTGCGCGGGCACTCCTTGCTCGCAGCGCCTCTCCCTCCCCGAGGTAGGAGAAACTTCAGTCCCACTGTTTTGCGCAAGTTGTAGAGGTTATGTTTCTGACAGGGAAGGACGAGGTCTCCAGGGGTATTGTCCAGGACGCCCGGTTCCGAGTAGCAGGAGTAGTAGTAGTAGTAGTAGTAGTAGTAGTAGTAGTAGTAGTAGTAGTAGTAGTAGTAGTAGTAGTAGTAGTAGTAGTAGTAGTAGTAGTAGTAGTAGTAGTAGTAGTAGTAGTAGTAGTAGTAGTAGTAGTAGTAGTAGTAGTAGTAGTAGTAGTAGTAGGTAGTAGTAGTAGTAGTAGTAGTAGTAGTAGTAGTAGTAGTAGTAGTAGTAGTAGTAGTAGTAGTAGTAGTAGTAGTAGTAGTAGTAGTAGTAGTAGTAGTAGTAGTAGTAGTAGTAGTAGTAGTAGTAGTAGTAGTAGTAGTAGTAGTAGTAGTAGTAGTAGTAGTAGTAGTAGTAGTCGTAGTAGTAGTAGTAGTAGTAGTAGTAGTAGTAGTAGTAGTAGTAGTAGTAGTAGTAGTAGTAGTAGTAGTAGTAGTAGTAGTAGTAGTAGTAGTAGTAGTAGTAGTAGTAGTAGTAGTAGTAGTCGTAGTAGTAGTAGTAATAATAATAATACTAATAATAATAATAGTAATACTGATAATAACAATAAAATCGTCCTGGGCAAGAATCCCAAAGGGGGTGCGAAAAGGCTCGGTGAGCTCATGTCTCTCTCGGAAGCCGAGATCTCGTTTTGGTCCGAGCACGTTCCCCACGTGCTCTCAGAGGTGGCCCAGGTAGGGACCCCGTCGAAAGGCCCGAAGAGGCTTTCGATTCTGGAGGCGCTCCCGCTTTTCGGGCTCCAGGTGGCCCAAGCCCAGCTCTTGGGGCGGGGAGCTCTTGAGGCCAGGACGAGGGCCCTGGCGACCAGTCGGCGGGGCCTTGCGGCCTCCCAACCCAATGACCTGTTCGACCCCTGATCGCTGGCTCCTCCTAGTTGTGGCTGGGGTGCGCTAGGGTCAGGGGCTGGGGGTGTCCCCGGGTTGTCTGGATTTGTCTGCGTGACCTTTCAGGGTCGAGTCTAGCATCCTCCTCCTCCTCTTCCTCCTCCTCCTTCTCCTCCTCCTCCTCCTCATCCTCCTCCTCCTCCCCCTCCTCGCCCTCACCTCCTCGGGTCGCCTGCGGCCCCGGGGGGGTGGGGCGTCCTGACCAGCCCAATTGGATCCGCAGCGGGTGGGCATGCCAAGAACCGCCCTGCGTGCCTCCAGGGTGCCCTGGGCTTCTGGGGATTCGATGGTTTTGCCGTGGGAAGGGCGATGGTGATGATAGTGACGATGATGCTGGTGATGCGGAGAGGGAGGGGGGCAGCGGGAGGAAGGAACGCGGGGCGTTGTCTCTTCAAAACGGGGACCCAACACCACAGGATGGTTGGGAAAAGTTGGCGGAGATGGTGGATCGTGGGGTTTGTGATTGTTTCCCTAATATTAAGGTGCGATGGTTGTTATGCCCCATATCCGAAGGATGTTTTTGTTTTTTTCTCCGACCGCGCCGATTCCTTCCACTCACCACTCCCTCCCCCTCCTCCTCATCATGTTAGCACATTGTATGCCGTGGTATGGTATGCTATGCCATGCTATGTTTGTGTATGATGATATGGCATGTTATGATGTACAATGTTATGGTGCGATGTGTCATGTTACGTCATGAAAACATGGCGCGCTACGTTATGTTAGGCGGTGATGCGTTGCTTTACGTGTCAGTTTGCAGTGTCGTGTTAGTGTGCAATGTGGTAGGTTATGGTGTAGTATGTCATGTAATGGTATGACATGGTATGTGATGTTTCGCTGTTGTGTAATTTGCTTGTTATGTTATTATGAGGATGGTGATGACGATAGCGATGGTGATATTGCTGTTGCTGATGATGATGGCGAGTATGCAGATGATGCTGATGTTGCAAATGGTGATTATGGTGATGATTATGGTGATGATGATGATGATGATGATGATGATGATGATGGCGACGACGATGCTGATGATGATGCTGATGATGCTGCTGCGCTGCTGCTGCTGCTGGTGCTGATGATGCTGATTATTATGATGATGATGATGGTGATGATGATGATGATGATGATGATGATGCTGATGCTGATGCTGATGCTGATGATGATGATGATGATGATGATGCTGATGATGATGATGATGATGATGCTGATGATGATGATGGTGGAGCAAAGTATGAGGATGTCTTGAGCAAGACGCCCCCCAGGTGGGAGCCGCCAGGGAGTATTGGACTCCTCCGTTCGTGCCAGAATGGCGGGGATGGTTCGCACGGCTTACCCCTTTGTAGGTGCATTATGGTCCGCTTCCGGAGCAGATGTTGAGGACGTCTCGAGCGAGGCGTTTGTTTTCGCACCCCAGGGGGCCAGATCTTCAGGACGTCTCGAACGGTTTGCTTGTTTCTTTGGGGCCATATGAATCTGTTTTCAGAGTAAAGTAAGAGGATGTCTCGGGCCCAGGAGGCCACATGAGGTCCTAGGAGGCATCAGGAGGCCATAGGAAGGTTCAACAGGCCACAGAAGGCCCTAAGATACAGCAGGAGGCACCAGTACGCCCTAGGAGACCTCAGGAGGCTCCAGGATGCTCCAGAAGGCCACAGGAAGCCCCAGGAGGCCACAGGAGGCCCCAGTAGACCTGGCCCGGCACAGAAACGAAAAGAGCGTTTCAGAAACAGAAACCGAAATTACTCACACCACCGTTCGTACTGGGAGCCTTGGCGTTGAGAGCTTGTTACGTCACCCCTCGCTCTTGGGAGCCTTGGTGTTCAGAGATTGTTGCGTTGCCGCCCGTTCCTGAGCCTTGGCTGGGCCTTGGTGTCAGGAACTTGTTACGTCACCGCTCTCTGCTGGGAGCCTTGGTCTTATCAGCTTGTTTACGTCACCGTTCGCTCTTGGGAGCCTTGGTGTGAAGAGCTTTTTGCGTTACCGATCGCTCTCTATTTGGCGTCTCTGGGCCTTCTTGGGAGTCCTATTGGAGTCCTTGTCGAGCCCTTTTGGAGGCCTCTTGGGAACCTCTTGGGGGGCTCTGGGGGCCTCCTGGGAGCTTCTTGGGGCGAAAGGCTAGACTTTTCGGTTCGTGGTCCCCCTCTTGGGGCCGCCTTGAGGCCCTCTTGGGCCGTCTTGGGTGCCTCTTGCGCCGTCTTGGCGCCCTCTTGGGCCGTTTTGGGGGCCTCTTGGGAGCCTCTTGGGCCGTCTTGGGGCGGTCTTGGGGGCCTCTTGGAGCGTCTTCAACGCAGTGAAAGCCGAAAAGCCTTGCATGCTAAAAATGTACCTTTTCCCATAGGAAATCAATGATTTTCGCCTCCCGGTGGCCTCTTGGGACGCCTCTTAGGGGCTTCTCGGGGGCTCTGGGGGCCTCCTGGGAGCGTCTTGGGGCGAAAGGCTAGACTTTTCGGTTCGTGGTCCCCCTCTTGGGGCCGTTTTGGCGCCCTCTTGGGCCGTCTTGAGCGCCTCTTGGGCCGTCTTGGGGCCCTCTTGGGCCGTTTTGGGGGCCTCTTGGGAGCCTCTTGGGCCGTCTTGGGGCGGTCTTGGGGGCCTCTTGGGCCGTCGTCAACGCCGTGAAAGCCGACAAAGCGCATATGCTAAAAATATACGTTTCCCTTTGGAAGATCTATGATTTCGGCCTTGGGGCCCTCTTGGGACGCCCCTTTGGCGCCTCTTGGGGGCCTCTTGGGGGCCTCTTGGGCGGTCTTGGGCTCTCTTGGAGCGCTCTTGGGCCGCTTTGGGGGGGCAACCCGAAAAACATGCAAAAACCTAAGGGAAAACCCGAAAATGGCCATTAACACGCAAATGCGCACCCTACCCCCCTCCTCTGAAACCCCTCCCTTTAGGGCTTCGCCCACACCAGAACGTCATCACTCGTACCTCGCTCTTTCCGTTACCCCAAGAGGTTCCAGGAGGCCCCACCGTAGCCATTTTGATTCGAGCCTTCTCTGGCTCATGTATCGAGAACTGGACTGGGTTGCAAAGCATTGTTGTCGTCGCCCCAGCGAAGATGCGGTTGCCTTCATCTCTGATTGTTGGCGCTTCTCATGCATCTGTATCCCTTGCTGTCAACGTGGTTGAGAACGTCAGCACGTTCGCTGACCTGGCCAGAGGAGCCAGAGGGTTCTCGGCTGCACATGCGTGTGACCACAACCGCTGCCCTGGAGCAAGGGAGTGGAGCAGCGCATGTGCTGCAATGAAGGGGTGTTCGGACTGCCCGCAGTGCAGGCACACCTGGCAGGGATCTTCGGCCGCAACACGAGCTGCGGAGCCGACGACCATGACGAGCACAGCAACGTTCAGCTTAGCGCTGGTGTTCTCGTTGCTGAACTTTGGCCAGGTCTGCGCAGACTTCGGGACGCTGGACGTGACTGAAGAGGCCATGTGCAGTGGGACGGCGCTTCAGAGCCTCGGCCTGGAAGACAAACCGTTTATGTCTATGTCTGGTTTGGGGTTCAATGGTTGCGTCTACAGCAGCCAGACTGATGGGATCTTCTGGAGCGAGTCCAGCGGACCCTTCGGAGGGAACCCATAGCTTCGATTCATTTGTATCGGGCAGACTACAACGTCCACGACCTCGACGGCCACTACCAGCAGCGCCACTACACTTACTATGACGACAGCATCGTCGACCATCACGAGTGCTACCAGCATGACCAACACTAGCAGGACTCTGACGAGCAGCAGCACGAGCAGTTCCAGCGGGACTGTGACCAGCAGCAGCACGAGCACGACCACCACGATTGTGACAAGCAGCAGCACTGCAGCCAGCACGTCAGCGAGCAGCACAAGTGACAGCAGCACGAGCAGCGTCATTGTGACCAGCCAGTCACTGACCAGCACAGATAGCAGCAGCACGACAGCGCTGGTGTTCTCGTTGCTGAACGTTGGCCAGGTCTGCGCAGACTTCGGGACGCTGGACGTGACTGAAGAGACCATGTGCAGTGGGACGGCGCTTCAGAGCCTCGGGCTGGAAGACAAACCGTTCATGTCTATGTCTGGTTTGGGGTTCAATGGTTGCGTCTACAGCAGCCAGACTGATGGGATCTTCTGGAGCGAGTCCAGCGGACCCTTCGGAGGGAACCCATATCTTCGATTCATTTGTATCGGGCAGACTACAACGTCCACGACCTCGACGGCCACTACCAGCAGCGCCACTACACTTACTATGGCGACAGCATCGTCGACCATCACGAGTGCTACCAGCATGACCAACACTAGCAGGACTCTGACGAGCAGCAGCACGAGCAGTTCAGCGGGACTGTGACCAGCAGCAGCACGAGCACGACCACCACGATTGTGACAAGCAGCAGCACTGCAAACAGCACGTCAGCGAGCAGCACAAGTGACAGCAGCACGAGCAGCGTCACTGTGACCAGCCTGTCAATGACCAGCACAGATAGCAGCAGCACGACAGCGCTGGTGTTCTCGTTGCTGAACGTTGGCCAGGTCTGCGCAGACTTCGGGACGCTGGACGTGACTGAAGAGACCATGTGCAGTGGGACGGCGCTTCAGAGCCTCGGGCTGGAAGACAAACCGTTTATGTCTATGTCTGGTTTGGGGTTCAATGGTTGCGTCTACAGCAGCCAGACTGATGGGATCTTCTGGAGCGAGTCCAGCGGACCCTTCGGAGGGAACCCATATCTTCGATTCATTTGTATCGGGCAGACTACAACGTCCACGACCTCGACGGCCACTACCAGCAGCGCCGCTACACTTACTATGACGACAGAATCGTCGACCATCACGAGCGCTACCAGCATGACCAACACCAGCAGGACTCTGACGAGCAGCAGCACGAGCAGTTCCAGCGGGACTGTGACCAGCAGCAGCACGAGCACGACCACCACGAGTGTGACCAGCAGCAGCACTGCAATGCTTGATATCTGGGTGATTGCCGTCGATGTCACACATGATATCCAGGCAGGGTCGAGCGAATCTCGGAGTCCTCTTTTGTTATTCGTCATTGCTTGTGGGGCATTATGTGGTCTCGCTTGCCCATTCTCGATCATTCCGCTGCTTTCGCGCAGACGTCCACTAAGCGCCAGGTGTGGAGCAGCCAGTCGCGTTGGCAGCATTCATAGTGATGTTACTTCGCTGGCGACCGAGTGAAAAGGGCGAGGCGGAGGATGGCGACGGCGACGAGGGCGGCGGAGTGGCCCGCGGTGTCCCGCCGGTGTTTCGCCTCCGGCTGAGGCGCGGCCGGACCAAATGATTCCTTTCCGGGGGCCGGTGGCCCGCGGTTTCCCGCTGGTGTCCCGCAGATGTCCCGTCGGTGTCCCGATGATGATGATGATGATGATGATGATGATGATGATGATGATGATGACGATGATGATGATGATGATGATGATGATGATGATGATGATGATGGTGATGGTGATGGTGATGGTGATGGTGATGATGATGATGATGGATGATGATGATGATGATGATGATGGTGATGGTGATGGTGATGATGGATGGTGTCCCGATGATGATGATGATGATGATGATGATGATGATGATGACGATGTTGATGATGATGATGGTGATGGATGATGATTGGTGATGATGATGGTGTCATGGTGATGATGGTGTTGATGATGATGATGATGTTGATGATGATGTTGTGTGTGATGATGATGTGGTGTGTTGATGATGATGATGATGATGATGTTGCTGATGACGATGATGATGATGATATTGATGATGCATGATGATGTTGATGATGATTATGATGAAGATGATGATGATGGTGCCCCTATGCTGGTGAGGTTCATGATGATGCTGTTGATGATGATGGTCATGATGATGATGGTGTCTCGATGATGATGATGACGATGATGGTGTCCCGATGATGATGATGTTGATGATGAGGAACACGATGAGGTGATGATGATTTTGATGATGGTGGTCCGATGATGGTGATGATGCTGATGTTGATGATGATGATGGTGTCCCGATGATGACGATGGTGATGATGCTGATGGTGACGATGATGATGGTGTCCCGATGATGATGATGATGATGATGATGATGATGATGATGATGATGATGATGATGGTGATGGTGATGTTGCTGATGATGATGATGCTGTCCCGATGATGGTGATGCTTTTGATGATGTTGTGCATGATGATGATGATGATGAGGATGATGATTATGATGATGATGAGATCATGATGGTGGTGGTGTTCCGGTGATGATGATAAGGATGGTGTCCCGATGATGATGATGATGATGATGATGATGATGATGATGATGATGATGATGATGATGGTAACGATGATGATGTTGAAATTGATGGTGATGAGGTGGTGATGATGATGATGATGGTGTCCCGATGGTGATGACGATGATGATGTTGATGACGTTGATGACGATGATGTTGATGATGATGATGATGATGACGTTGATTGTGATATTGATTTTGATATCGACAGTGAGATCGATAGTGGGACCGAATGTGAGATCGATAGTGAGATCGATCGTGAGATCGATTGTGAGATCGATAGTCAGATCGATTGTGAAATCGATCGAATCAAATAGATCGAGTCAGATCGATGGTGAGATCGATCGAGTTAGATCGATCGAGCGAGACCGATAGTGAGATCGATAGTGAGATCGATAGTGAGACCGATCGAGTGAGACGTTGGTTCCTCCCCCCCCGAACCTCCTTAACACCCGAAGGGTGGTCGTATAGGATAACTACAAGCATAACCAGCCCAGAGCAAACAAAACAACTAAGCGCTACATGTGGAGAGTCCCATTTACGAGTCGAAGGGCTGAGTGTAGAGAATGATCAGACCCAGGTGCACAGAGACAGTACCAGGTGCATACCGCCCGCAGACGGGAACGCGTCGTGTTGGGTCCCGCCGCGCGGGGCGCACGAGTTGCCCTGCTTTCCGCCAGAGGAAGAGGCGTGCAGTTCTGCCAACACCGTGCAGCTCCTGGTCGCCGATGACGTCGACGATCCGACGAGCCCACATGTACCACTGTTGACGCCTTGCTCAGGCAAAGGGGGGAGTTGCCCAAGCAGAAGCAGCAGGTCACGCGCCGATGTACATCGTTCTCCTACGTTTCTACTTGTTCATTGCTAGCTTGTCTTCTCACTTTTCGCGCTCTGGAGCTTGAGAGTTGCCGCGTTGTCGAGTTGCAGCTTCTCTTTCTTTGACAATGGCGTCAATGTGGCAATGACCTGATGTCTCGCCACGGTCTCCAGCTGCGAAGTTACCGGCTCGTGTACTCGAGCGAGTTTGCGCACATAAGTTGTTTGCCTGGACCTGCAAAAATGAACCTGGCGAAGGACCCAACCAAATGCAGTGATCAGTACCGCAATTATGAATATCTTCTTCGGTGGAGCTCCCTATGGGGCCACGAAGCGCTGTACTGGGTGGGTGAGACGCAGGGAGCAAGGGCTGTGCTGGGTGGTGGCTGACTCATGCAGGCAGTGCCACTGAGACCTTCGGTGGAGCTCCCTACGGGGCCACGAAACGCTGCACTGGGTGGGTGAAATGCAGAGAGCAAGGGCTGTGCTGGGTGGTGGCGGACGCATGCGGGCGATGCCATTGGGACCTTCGCTGGAGCCCCCTTTATGGGGCCACGCAACGCCGTACTGGGTGGGTGAAACGCAGGGAGCAAGGGCTGTGCTGGGTGGTGGCTGACGCATGCGGGCGGTGCCACTGGGACCTTCGGTGGAGCTCCCTATGGGGCCACGAAGCGCTGTACTGGGTGGGTGAAACGCAAGGAGCAAGGGCTGTGCTGGGCGGTGGCCGGCGCATGCGGGCGGTGCCAGTGGGACCTTCGGTGGAGCTCCCTATGGGGCTTCGAAGCGCTGTACTGGGTGGGTGAAACGCAGGGAGGAGGGGGAGGAGGGCCACGAAACGCTGTACTGGGTGGGGCGCATGCGGACGGTAGACCTGGGTGGAGCTCCCTATGGGTGGGTGAAACGCAGGGAGGAGGGGAGGAGGGCCACGAAACGCTGTACTGGGTGGTGGGGGACGCATGCGGACGGTAGACTTGGAACCTTCGGTGGAATTATTTATGGGGCCACGAAACGGCGTACTGGGTGGGTGAAACGCAGGGAGGAGGGGGAGGAGGGCCACGAAACGCTGTACTGGGTGGGGGGGCGCATGCGGACGGTAGACTTGGAACCTTCGGTGGAGCTCCCTATAGGGCCGCGAAGCGCTGTACTGGGTGGGTGAAACGCAAGGAGGAGGGGGAGGAGGGCCACGAAACGCTGTACTGAGTGGGGGGGACGCATGCGGACGGTAGACCTGGAACCTTCGGTGGAGCTCCTATGGGGCTACGAAACGCTGTGCTGGGTGGGTGAAACGCAAGGAAAAGGGGGAGGAGGGAGGAGGAGGGGGAGGAGGAGGAGGAGGAGAGGAGGAGGAGAGGAGGAGGAGGACCGTGTCTTCAAAACGACGACCCAACACCACAGGATGGTTGGGAAAAAGGTTCAAGGAGGCCCCAAGAAACACCTGGAGGCCCCAGGAGGCCACAGGATGCCACAGGAGGCCACAGGAAACGCGAGGAGGCACCAGGAGGCCCCGGAAGGCCTAAGGAGGCTCCGGGAGGCCCAAGGAGGCCCCAGAGGCCCCAGGAGCAGGAGGCCTCAGACGGCCACAGGAGTTGCTCCTTCCTAATGTTTTGTGTACGCTCCGATAGATTAGGCTTATATCGCGGGAGATCCGCTACACTCTGTAGAACAGTACATTCGGCAAACATAATATAAAAAATACTATTTGGCATATTTCGGATGCCGTAATCCAAATGCTCACACCTATATATATATATATATATATATACATATATATATATATATATATATAAACAAGCTCTCGGGATTTAACAAATCCCACGCGAGCGGCGTCGTTGTTTTCACCGAAAACACACGCGGCTGACCACCGCAAATCGCATTGGCTCGGAAGGCACGACCACACGCAGCGACAAGGACCCAGGCCTCAGGGAGGTTTCGAAGCCAAACCAAGAGAAGCATGACAGGGGGCCTTCGGGGGCCTCTCATGAGCCTCAGGGGTCCCTCAGGGGGGCTTCGAAGCCAAGCCTCCCCCAGCCTCCAGGGGGCCCTCAGGGGGCCTTCGAAGCCAAACCTCAAGGTGCCTTCAGGGGGCCTCAGGGCAGGGGGCCTCAGGGTGCCTTCAGGGGGCCTCCAGGGGGCCTTCAGGGAGAGTTTCAGGGGGGCTTCGAAACCAACCCCCCCCCCACATCATTATACATCCCCTTCTTCTCGTCATCATCCTTCCCCTCTACTTATCCAATCCTTCCGCGGCAACAACCCAACCACCTCATCCCCGACGAGTTGCCCCCAATCTCGCATCATCCGGCCCTCGCGCGAGATTGGCACCCTGCCCTCCCAGCTAAATCATCCCCAACGAACGGCCTCTATCCCGATCGATGCCGCCATCCCCTGAAAATCTGTACATAGATGGGTGTGTGGGGGTCTCTGGAGTTGGATGGGAAATGTGGTTGGACTGGGCAAAAAAGAGGAAGGGTTAGGATGTTTGGAATGATGGGGAAGGGGGCGAAGAGGAGAGATGGGAAGCAGAGGAAGAGGGACAGGGCCTAAAGGCACAGTAGTGTAGAAGAAGGCCAAGTAGACCAAGTAAAAGGGCTTAGACAGGAGTAAGTAGGCGGAAGACGGGGTGGATGAACTATTAGCTAGCATACTGATCTTAAATGGGCTGGGCGTCGCCAACGACTCTTTGTCATGCTGCTATGTTCCATGCCATGCGACTGTAGTTTTACTAGGTGCGACTCTATGATATGCTATGCGCGATGCTTCCATACGCTATTATATCACATGACATGCCATGCTGTTCGCAACGCAACGCCGTGCGATACCATCGCAACCAACAAGCGTAGACTAGACACCATGGCATCGGCCCAGCACGCGAAATCATAGCATAACGTAGCAGACTTCAACCGCCTGCAGCAGATCGGGGTACCCTCGTACGGCGTATGAGTATGCAGGCAGACGTGGCGCACGGCATAGCAGAGCGCACAGCGAAGCGCCTCGCATACCATGCAAGGGGACCTGCGTGCCGCAGTGCCGAGGATGGCATTGCATAGCACAGCACAGTCCACCTTGCTACACGCCGAACGGTCTGCCATCGGAGGGGGGCAGACGAAGCCATCGCGCTCTGTGCGCTGCTTTCATGCCGCAGCCGGCCCCGCTGCCCACGAGCGAGCGGGCGGCCTCGGCCGCAGCTGCGGAGCCCGCGGGCACGGTGCCCACGAGCGCCCCGACGGGAGAGAGGGCCGCGGGTGCGGCCAGCCGGGCGGTCGGGCAGCGACCGCGCCCACGATCTCAGGCCTAGAGGTTGACACCAACACCAAGATCGGCGGTGTGCCTCCACCGAGGGAAGACGATCCCGATCTCGGTGATGGTGGTAATATTCTGGCTTCCAAGGTGGCCGAAATATCACCACCAACACCGAAATCTAGGATCATCTTCCCCCTGTGGAGGCAACCCCCTGTGTTGGTGTTGGTGCCCATTTCCAGGCCTCCGACACGATCTCATCTTCAACGCATCCCTGCAGCGCGCAACCAGCGCTGCAGGCAAGTCGTTCGGCGTCGCCGCGGCTCTGCGCAGCTTTCCCTGGACAGCGGTCACCCTCCCCCGCGGCCCCACCTCGTGTCTGCTGGGCTCTTTTTGTCCAGGGAGCAATCGCAGAGCTCAGCACTGAGGAGAAACCCGCGGACACCCTTCACTAGTGTCTCGATCTCTGTGATGTGGTGCGCCTCGACCTTTACTCCGAACTCACCCGGCTTCGCCGCCAGCTCATCCGTCTTTGCGTCGATATCCTCACACTGGGTCCACCACGGGCCGAATGAGACATCGTTCAAACCAGTGGACGTACAGATGTTCAGTACTTCATCCAAGCTGGTGGCGGCGGGAGCCTTCTCATCAGACTCCGTGAACCCAGGCGTCGCCACCATGGCACCGTTGAGGCCGCTCATCTGGTCGGTGAGGGCAGCCCTGACCTTCTCCACGATGGACGTCCCGACGTGAGCGGCCAACTCCTTCGCGTGATCCATCTTCTCGGTGACCGATGTACTCGCACTGGGCTTGATCTCATCCAGCAGCGCGGCCTTCATGTGTTGCTTCTGCTTCTGAAGGGCTCTCACGAGCTCCTTTGCCAAGCGCTCCAAGGTGCTCGCATCGACTGGCGTAGCCTCCGCTGGCGGGTCCATGGCTTCAGACAAGGCCTTGGACGCGACCATGGCCCTCCAAGACGCGTTCATCATTCACGCCACCTTGTAGCAAGTCTCGGAGAGGTTGCCTGGCACGTGTGGCGCAAGCGTTTCCAAGGTGTCGTAGAATGCACCGTCGGTCTGCTGCATGAAGCCGAACCTGGTGTCCTCGATGACGCCCCTGACGACGATCTGGAACAGCTTGTAGCACTGCTCGCGGATATCATCAGGCAACTCCCTGGCACGGCAATCGTGAAGGGCATCACGAAGGCGGCGCGCCAACTCAGCCTCAGGAGCCCACTCCCTCAATGCCGACATGACGACGTCGTGCTTGGCTGCCATGTCCAGGTCCAAGAGTTTGTCGTGGATTTGCTGCGCAGCCTTCTCGACATTCTCATCGGCGGGGAATAGGGCAGACATCTCCTTAGGTCCTTGAACACGTGCAGGATAACAGCTGGCGTCTCCTGCAACTCCTGGCTGGGGGACGCCGCGGACGCCACCCCTCCAGCATTCATCAACATGGCGCATGACTTCACCGCCTTCTCGAGCAACGTGTGCTTGACGTCGTCGGACACACCGTCGTAGACCCTCGCGTCCCAGTAGGAGATCTCCTTCGCAACCTCCAGCATGAACTCGCCGTTCGCCCTGGTAGGCGGCACGTTCACTACGATCTCGATCAGCTTCGCGTGGGGCGTCTGCAATTTCCCGCCGTGCTCCTTGATGGCCTCGGTGCGGGTGGTGGCCCAGTCAATCTTCTTCTGCCAGTAGCCGCCGCAGCTCGGCAACAGCGCCTGGCCCGCGATCCTGGCGACGCTCTGCTCGCCCTGGGTGCGCGCCGCCTCTGATCTGATAGAATCAATCCCGTCGAATATGTCCAGCGTAGTGTCGGGCGTCAGCGAGCTCGACAGTAGCACCTGTATCGGTTTAGCCACGGTAGTCGCTTGAAGGAGGCACTGCGCAGCCGTTGCCGCAAGATCGCGTCCTCTGGGAGGAGGTCCCAGTGCGCCCCACGTTCTCCGCTGCAGCGCTACCTGCACCGAGCCAGTCGCTGAGGGCGCGGCTGAACACCCAATCCATGAATATGTCCGCCACCTCGGAGTCGTTCTCGGCAGCCTTGATCAGCGTCACGCTGCAGGGGTCAAGACTGGCGTTGCTCTGATCCCCAAGGTTCGCCCACGGCGCGGTCGCAGAGAGGAGCTTCTGCAAGTAGAGCTTCCTCTTATCGATGCTAGTGTCTGGGTCCGAGATGACCTTCCAGATGCTATCGATGTACCTATTGGCGAGGCCCTTCAGCGCGACGGTCGTCAGGGTAGCGCCTGCCTTCTTCAACTCAGCCCAGTGTTTCCTGAGGCCCTCGTCTGTCTCCGATTTGCACGTCGATGGGCTAAACTTCTTTGCCTTGCTGTACAAATCCATGTGGATCCCCAGGCTCTTGCGCTCGATGCCCGTGACCTTGCCGCGCAATATCTTCGCCTGGTTTTCAGCTCGCCCGTTCTTGAAATCGTTGAAGGCCCGATCGAACCTCAACCCGAATACCCAGTAGTCTACTGTGCCGCAGGTGTGCGGGTTGATCAAGTCATCGTCCGATCCGGGTTTCGGGGTCTTGGAAGATCGCTGGGCGAGAGACGGCGTCGAAGAAACAGAGGGCGGCCGTTTGCTCGGAGTCCTGCCGCTGACGTCGCACACAGCCCCCAAGGCAGCCTGCCCCGGGAGTGGGGCGCGCTCGGGGCCATCGTCAGTGAGCATCTCCACGGACGCGCCCGAAGCTGCATGTCCGTGGCCAGGCCCGCCGCCGGGCCCATCTCCATGCTGATCGTCGCTGTCGCCATCCTCATCGCCATCGACCAACCCAGAACTGATCCTGCCGCGGCGCCTCTTCGCCTTCTCGTTCAAAGAGTCGCGGCGATCCTTTATTGCAGCGAAGGTCGGGATGCTGGATTGGAAGCCGAAGTTGAAAGTGAACGCGGAGCCGTCCTCAGATGAGCATGCGGAGCTGTCGCTGCTGCCAGTCGCCCCTCGCAATAACTCAGCTTGCCCATCGAACAACTGCTTGGCGCCGTTATTGCAGTGGTTGCGTTGGGAACCCCTGCTGTTCTGATGGAAGATCTTCAACGTGGGGTACTTGAGCTTCCTCTCTGGCGTCGGTATGAAAGGGTAAACAATCACGCACCTCGGCCTCCGAGCAATCTGTGTACCCTTTATCTGCAATGTCTTGGGTGGTTTGCCGAACTCCTTGGTGGCGTCGCTGGCGGTCAGCGCGCGCACCTTCGTGTAGAGCTCATGGCCGACGGACATAGACTCCACGATGCGCAGGTCCTTCGAGCCAGGTGGCGGCTGCTCCGCCACCGCACTCGGCACCGAGCCGTCCTCGAACAGGGCGTCCATCTGACCGCTGTACAGGATGTCCACAGCTGCCTTGAACATCACCTCAGACATCTCATCGAAGGCGAAGCTCATGCACAGCTCGCACCCCACGTCACCGTCATCGAGGGTCGCCTCAAGGTGCTCAGCCCCAGCAAAGCTCTTCATGATCTTGATCCCGTCCTGAGGGAGTGTGTGTGTGTGTGTGTGGGGGATGCGTAATGCTATGGGCATAGGTCCATGGGCAACCATGGGGGTACCAGATATCCTGAAAACACCAACGAGCCCACCAGGGCCCCTCTGTGCTTGATTTTTTTTGGGGGGGGGGGCTGTCATCCGAAGCTTCTGTAGGGGCGGGGGGCCTCCGAGATCGCGCCCTCGCCAGCTTTCGAACGCGGGTGTTTCAGACGGGGCCGACGCGCGGCAGAGACCGCGGAAGAGGGTTGGCAGATGTTGCAAACACCCTAGGGCCCCGATCTGTGTTGTTGCACATGTCGCAACACACGGCGGCAGCCTTCCTCGCCGTGGGCTTCCCCTCCTTCGAAGCGCGGCCACGCCCTCGTCCGCGACCGCCTGGCTGACCCTTGCCCCTGCCGCCACCGCGGCCGCTGCCGCCGAGGGCGTGCTTCCCTATTGGCGAACGCGCTGTCTGAACGTGCTCGCACAATGCAGGCGCCCCGTGCGCGCTCTGGCACGAACCCTTCGACAAGGCAGCGGCTGTGGAAAGCAAGGGGGGGGGGGGGGCGGTGAAGGGGCAGGGGGGAAGCCCTGCGACTTCCCGGGCGCCCTCGCGAACTCCTGCCCTGACGCAGGCCCAGGCGGGACAACGCTGGCGGCAACCATCGGCGTAGAGAAGACCAGCGATGCATCCTGTCAGCTCGAAGCGCCTCAACGGGGGCGGGCGTCCCTCACGGCATCTGGGCCCCACCAAGAGATGAGACCAATGCCGAGCGCTTGGCCGCCAGACTCGCGATGCATCGCTTGCGACGGCAACCAGCGCAACGCAATGCAATCGGGCCCCAGGGAACCAGCGACCCACGCAACACACATCTTACAATCGATCTCGCACCACCGATGCATCGCGACCATGCTGGCACGGCATCCCACGCGTGCCACAACCACCCCAGGCGCGCGCCCTGACGTGCAAGACAACATGTAGCTTGCTTGGCGCATTGCGCGCGGCAGAAGAAAAGGCGGAGGAGGGGGAGGAGAAGGGGGGGTGATCAAGCGGCGGATGTGCATCAGACATCGGAGGAGGAGGGGCGACAGAACGGTAAGACACACTGTGCTAGTCAAATGCACAGTAGGACAATGCGGTCGACCGTGGCATCGAAAGTGCGGTCGGCCATGCAATCGATGTGAGATCAATTGTGGTATCGATCGTGAGATCGACCGCGAGGTCAATCGTAAGCTCGATCGTGATATCCCAATGAGATCGATCGTGAGATCGATCGGGAGGTCCATCGCGAGATCGACGGGGAGAACGACCGTGAGATCGATTGTGAGATCGACAGTCGTATCACCCGTGATCGACACTTACATCGGCAGCGGGATCGATAGTCAGACCGATGTGAGATCGATCGTGGGATCGAGGGCGAGGCCGGTAGTGACATCGAGCGCGACACCGACTGAGAGGCCGATAGCGAGATCAAAGGGGAGATCGACGGGGAGATTGATCGTGACATCGAAAATGAAATCGCTCGTGCGATGGATCATGACATCGATAGTGACATCGATACTGCGACCGATGGGAAATCGGTGGTAAGATCGATCGAGAGATCGATAGCCATTTCGACGGCGAGATCCCACAGCGGGGTCGATGGTGATAGATCGGGAGGTCGATCGATTGAGGCGTCGGTTCCTCCCCTCCCCCCTCAACCTCCTTATCACCTGAAGGGTGGCCGCGTAGGTATTCCCTCCCTTCTTCTCCTCCTCAATGTCTAACCTGATCCTCCTCGACCCCTCAAGTACCCACTTGGCTTGAGCTGGCCGCCGCCCGTGGGGCCCGCGCCCCGCGCTGTTGCCGCGCGCCATGTCCTCTAGCTGAGTGCCCGGGGGCTGCACCAGGCATCTGTGCTGTACTTGAGGGGCGGCATCTTCGTTGGCTGTCATCGTCTACAGCCTGAGGGAGTTGCTGCTCAACGCCCGGGAGAGCTGGCTACCTGGTCCATGCGATTTTTCATTCCGCAGCACTTGGCCTCGACTTCTTTGTTCGAGCAAGTCAACAATCTTCGTGGAGATCATGACATCATTATTGTCGATGCCGGGAGCGCAGCCGCTATGTGTACGGGGCTCGGAGTCTATTCTCTTGAAGGTGCAAGGTCAGTTTCGGCGCATTGTACGCCCTCCTTCACTTCTCCGTGGGCTGCGCCGGGCCAGTGGTATGGAGGCGTTGGCTCCGCCTCAGCCTATGCCGCCAGTGCCGCCATGGCCCGCATCGAACGTACGCTCCAAGAAGATCAAGCAGCAGAAGCCGCAGTGCAAGAAGTACGGCGGGAAGAAACTCATCGCGAAGGGCCGGCATCGGGACAAGAAGAAGCAGAAGTACCAGCAGAAGGGGAAGCCCGTCAGGAAGAGGCGCAAGCGCGCGTCCGGGATGAAGGGAAGCTTGACGACTGTGGTGGCCGTGAGGCCGCCTGCGCCACCGCCTCCCGGAATGTTCGTGACGCCGAGCGTGACCTCCAGGGACCCCTACTCGAAGGTTTTGGCGGAGGCTGTGAAGCCGCGTGTGCCGCCGCCGCCGGTGCCGACGAGGATCAAGGTGGTGATGATGCCACCGCCGCCGCCGCCGCCTCGGCTGCCGACACCTCCTCCGCGCAGGAGCTGAAGCCGCAGGAGGCCTTCTATATTGGCACGGACGACGAGGATTTGGATCATCCAGTCTGCCGCGCTGGGGTTGCTGAGGATGCGGATGGCGGCGAAAAGAAGGTACACAGGCGCAATCGCCGCAACAATAACAAGAGGAAGAACAAGCAGAAGGATCCAGAGGAGGTCTCGAATGTGGCCTCCGCTATGCTACAGCCTGTTGGAGTAGGTGTGGACGCAGCTCCTATGCCTGAGCCAACTGGCACACATCAAGGGGATGGGAATGGCGATGGTGCCCTGGAGGAGTTTTCCGACCAGGATCTTCCGAGTCGTCGTGTCGAGGACTTCTCTTTCCTCGAGCCTCACATGATCGAGCGCTTGGTGGAGAGGGGCTTTCTTCGCCGATGAGTTCAACAAGCTTGTCCGGTTATTCCGTGCACTTTTTCATCACGTCTTTTTTGTCATTTTCATCTGAGGTATCTCGAGCCTGCTTGCCAGTCGCCTTGCGCAGCCTGTCATGCAGTGGCCCACAGAAAAAAAAAAAGATCCTCCTCGACCTCCCGCTCAATCGCTTCCTCACTTCTCGTCCGAACCTCGCCCGCCCGCAATGTCCCCCACCGTTCGCCATTTAGGTGCACCCTCACTAAACCCAGCTGACCTAAAGGAGACCGGGGGGGGTCCGTTATCCAGGAAGGGGCCGTGAATGCGCGTGGGACGGACGCTTGCGAACCTGAGTGCCACCTCGGCAATGTTGCATACCACCCCCCCGAGCGGTCTCCTGATGAGACGGCGGGCGGAGCAAGCCTTCGACTCAACCTTGGAACCCCTCACAACGCACCGCGAATGACACAACTGGAGGCATCAAGAATTATAATGAGCTCTGTGTGCGAATGTCGCGCATCCAGCGTCAGCACCAACAGATCCCTCAGGAAAAGCCTTCCATCTTAGTTCCCCTGACCCTGGCGATGACGCAGCGGAAGTGACGGCGAAGAGAACGGCGACCCAAGCATATAACATAGAGGACAATTGCCATAGTCGATGACAATTTTCGAATATAACAGATTATAACATAGAGGCATATGACAATTTCGACAGCAATGCCGTCGAAATTATATTGATATGCGCCCTCGCGTTTGTCATTCTCGCGGTCGTCGCGTTCGTGGGCGTTTTCGCCGTCAGAGAAGTCGGCCTCACCCAAGTGCTCGTGGCCGACACAAACCAAACATCTGCTGCGCAGTCGGTATCGTGACTCCGGTGGACTGAAAGGGCCCGTGACTCTGGTGGACTGAAAGGGGGGGGCGAAACCCACCTGAACGACGCACCTCGCCTGAGCCACCGCTTCCTTGCACAAAAGCAGAACGCCTGCGGCACTCAGCATGGCGATCGCGCAAGGAATTCGGTTCCCAGGCAAGGCTCGAACTTCTGGTCGGGGAAGAGCGCGACGACGACGGGAAGAGTGAAGGCGACGTGGCCTGCGGACTCTTCAATCGTCCCCAAGCGCGGGCACAGTGCGAGCGGCCACAAGGTCGAACGGCCTGTCCAGACACCAGCGCACGCACGCGGCAAGCAAGACAATGGAGAACCCCACCCATCCTTTAGATCCTCCTTCGCCCCCTCAGTCCTCCTCCGCCGCCGCCGACTCCGCGTGGCCATATGATCCCTCCCGAATCATTGCCGCCGCCCGAACGGAACACATCCCACATGCATTCCTTATTCCCTCTTTGCGCCCTCCGCACTCCATGAATAAAACACGCGACACTTGCAACCGAACCCCGTGCAAGATACCCCGGGAAAGCCGCCGAACCCCACCCGCCCACATAGTCCAATAACACTAAGACGCATTTCCAACCAACGTTCACTATTCCATTGTACGTTCGACACATCATGGTCTTTGCACTTGCTTAACCAACAACCTCGGCATACACAGCAGCATGGGCAACATCAACAACAACCCTAACACCATAGACACCCACACTAACAACATCGCAAGCCCCTTTAATCGCCCGCCGCGCTGGCGACGCAACCTACGTTGTTTTTTGAACACTGAAGCTGCGACGCGTCAGCGACTACGGAAAACAAATGAGCGCGGCACCCTTGAGTAAACACGCTGCAACCCGCATCGTGTAAATATGCCGCACCATAGTCGTCGTCATCGTCGTCGCGGTCGCTTTTAGACGCCGTCGCCGACGTCGTCGCCCGTCGCGCGCCGCCGACAGCGCGAATTGAGGGAAGCTATAAGAGCGCGGGAGGAGAACGCTAGCACTTTGGAAGGGCGCAAATAGCGACCGGCGCGTGGGCATTCGAACATCTAACACCAGGAACTTGCAACGCAACGCGGGGACATACGAAGGTGAACAAGAGGG